ACCAGGCTCGGAAAAATTTAAGAAAAAGAAAAGGCATGCGACTGAGGGAAGGGGGTAAATCTTCCCAGACGGTTTGAGAAAGGACAGATGGAAGGAGTCTGAACTGGAACTACTTGCTGACTTCAGTTCCCACTAATTAAACCCCGTTAAATACTAATTGAGACTGTAGAACTCAGCTTGTCGCCAAACAGCCCAGGATGGGACTGATGCTTCAACCAGGGCGGGAAGGGGGGGAGGTCCTCTCTGAACTGCTGTAACCTTGCCCTGCGCATTCCTGAGAGTAAGACCTGAAGGAAATGAAGGTACCCGATCCCCACGGAGAGACGGGGAGTGTGGGCTGAAGCGCAGGGCCTGGAAAGACAGACACCGGCCACCGGGGTGGCTGATGCCCAGAGCACAGGGCTTCCTTCTACAGGCCTCACACTGCAGGGGCTGGTTCCAGGCCCACAGAGACAGCCTGGGAGCCACTCACAAAGAGAAGTGGACTCTCCACCAGTGTTCTGATTTTAAAATAGAAAATCCTGGGCTCCATGTCAGTGAGCAGGGCCGACACCGAGGGAATCCTGAAGCTGGGTGGGCAGTGAGACGAGATGACCTCCAAGTTCCTCTTCAATTCTAAGGCACCGATGTGAGCCACCACCTGTCACCTCGATTACTGCAAAAGCCTCCCTGTTTCTATTACTGATACTACTGCCAAAGCGATCCTGCTAAACCTAAATCACTCCTCTGCCAAAAGCCCCGCTGCGCCCATGGCCCCTCAGTCTGCTCTGGAAATTCGTCCCTCCTGTCCCACCTGTTCACTCGGCTCAGTCATACATCGGCTGCCTGCTGCGCTCCGGAACAGTGAGCTCACTCCTACCACAGGCCCTTTGCACGTGTCACTCTCTGGGCTAGAACATCTTCCCTCTTCCCCTGGACACCCACACAGTCTGCTCTCCCACCTCCCCCAGAGCTTTCACAGATGCCACTTGGGGGGTCTACATTAGATACGTAAAGCCAAACACAGGCTGAAACAGTGTGCCCCTATCTATCAGCACAGGCTCCCCTCTGTCCATAGTCTCTGAGTGCCCTGCTTTATTTTTCCCTCACACACAGAACATATAATACATGCTTGAGTCTATGCACACGCGTGCGTGTGTGCGCGCGCGTGCGTGCGCAACACACGCACGCGCGCACACACACACACACACACAGGCACACATAAGCACGCATGCACACACTCTCCTATTAACTTATTGACTGTCTTCCCTTGTCAGAAAGTCAGCTCCATACGGGCATGGGTTTGTGTTTGGTTTGTTGGCTGCTATCTCCCCAGGATTTGTAAGGGTGCCTGACACATGGTGGCTGCTCCACAAATATTTGCTGAATGACTGAATTCCACATAAAATTAAAAAAGACACAGAAGGCTGAAAGCGCAGTTCTGAGGACTCTCACTGGCCCACATATACTTCACAGATTACATTATGTGCTGTTGTAAGTGCCTCCTTACTCACAAAAGGGGTAAAAATGACTTAAAAACCCAGCTTTGCCCTCCCAGGGGCTCCCCACTAAGCACGGACCCGTCCCCCATCATCTCAAGCAGAAGGTCCCAAAGGAACTCTGGCAGCCTGCCAGCTTCTCCCCTGTGACAACTGGCCCGCTGAGAAGCACATTTCACAGCCTCCCTGTAGGTGTGGCCACGAGACCTGGTTCCAGCCGCGGAGATTCGCCAGGACCACGGATGGTGCTCATAGGAAGTCGCCCTAAAAGGAACACGGTGGCTTCTTCCGCACCCTCCTCCTGTCTGGGATGCAGTCAGCGCCACGCCTGAGAAGCAGCCATGCAGCAGGACCTGGGAAAAGGCTGCACAGAGACCTACCCTGTCACCCCTGGACTGGCTACCTCAGAACTTCCTTCATGAGAGGGACAAAAACAGTCACTGCCGCCCTGGGCTTTCCGCCACATGCAACCAAATGTCACAGCCCTGGAGCAGACACCCAGGAGTACTTCCATCTGCTCCAAGCAGCAGGGGACCACCATCGTTTCCAAGTGAAAGACTCTTTGAAACGTTCCAAACTGTACCAGAAACATCAAAGGTTGACGGCACTGTCGTCGTCATACTTTCTGGGGGTTCCTGTCTTCCTCTCGTCTAAAACCTTCGATTGCAGTATCATTAAAAGTCAAGTCTACAGGATAGCTCAACAGCAGAGAAAAGAGGCAAAGGCTTGCAACCAATGCCAGGTGGCCTGGGTAAAACTCAGATGGGCAGACGACTAGACTAGTACCAGAACCTTCAGGGACACTGAAAGGCTCTCCGGTTACCCCAAACAGTCCGTGGACATAGGTTGTCATTTGCCAGACACACTGCTACTGCACCGAGCTACCATGAAACCGTCTCCAGGGTAGGTGCAAGGAACAGCCAAACCATTAGGGAGGGTTTCTTTCCTAGAAGGACATGGTCCTGGGCACAGAAAACGCACAAAACTGGTTTTCAGTATATGTCACTTTGTTTCCTGTGGCCACAAAGAAAGTTACAAAAAGTTACTGTAGCTACAAATCACCTCATCTTCCATTCAGCCCAACCCTCTAGTGTCTGAAAAGCTTACTAAGAAAGCTCGGGGAAAGTACTTTGAAATTCAATTAAAATACTACCAACAGAAGCACCGGCAAGCTTCCAAAGGAACATTAACCTTTTTGAAATGTGATTGGCTCTTTCTTTTCTAAAAAAGATGTAACTACCACGCAGCACAAGCTGATGTTTCAGGAATGCAAAGGAGAATTTGGGGTACTACTTTATGCCAGAGCTTTACCGAAGAAGTATTCCAAGCCTGAGAACTTGTAAACCATGTTTCCACAGCCCTGAAAAAGCCCATATCCACGGGGGTGAGGGACAGGGCCAGAAGGCGACCAGGCAATGCTGACAACACAGATAGAGCCTGTGAGAGCTAATGCGCCTGACCCGGAGTCATTCCGCAGCCCTAGACATCACAAAAACTGAGCCCAGCACATGTGGATTTCACGTTAGGAGCTGGGCTGCTAACCCAGTGATTCTTTTATAGTTGGCATGTTACTGAGTGAGCCGCAGGCTAATGTTTGTCTTAAAACTTCATCCTCACTTGGTTCTAAGGCGCAGCACCTGCACACACCATGAGGGGTAACTTTCCATGTCAAATTAAGCTGATAATCCAGCCTTTCTTAGCAATCTCGGGTAACATTACAAAGACCCAATTCCTTTAAACATGACAAGAAAAAAATCTCTGTAATAACAGAATCACTTGAAAATCAAGTAACACTGTACTATTGACATAAACTTACTCCTCTGAACTGAGTCTCAGACGCCATCTCTGAAAGGGAAACGAAGACATTTTCAAGGAAGTGCCTTGTTCTGCTGCCACTTTGAAATAAAAATTGAAAGGATGCAAAAAATGATTCACAGTTCAGTGAATTTTTTTAACATCCAAGAAGTGTGAAGCAAAAAGTATCAGAGGCGAGGAAAGGGCACTTACACTCCCTACGTGTGTGTGCCCCCCACTCCATGCCCCCATGCAAAGCCTCCCCAACATCGGAAGCAGTGAATGTCTGGTTCATAACTGGGCAACAGAAGCCAAGTGAGGACTCTAACAGAGGTACCAGCTCCCAGGATAACCGTCTAATCCTGGCCAGAAAATACACTCCAACCTACAGGAACAACTTTGTTAAATGTAGCCCATCGGCCACCATTTCAAGAGAACATTATGAAAAGCTAAAACTGGTTCCACTGAGTCAGTCCATCCTGTCCCTGGTGACCTTCCCGGCCTGCTCACACGGCATGTTTGGAGGGAAGTGATGTGGCATGATGATGAAGGTGACAATTAACCAGATGAGGAAAGAGCTGTGCAAAATCCAGCAGTGACACGTCATGCGGTCAGTATGAAAACCTAAACCCTGGTTCAGGTTCCCGTGGTCTCTTAACTGGACGTCTGGAAGAGCCCGCCGTCTGGCCTCTGCCTCCAGCTGCGCCTCCTGTCCGTCCACCTTGTACAGTGACAGTGATCTCTGCACACCAGCTCTGGAATTCCGGGGCTTTGGCCACCTCAGGCAATTCCAAGCTGCTTGGCGGGATGCACGTGGCCAATGAGCACGGCCACAACCCCCCGCCCCCCACCAGGCCGCCTGCACTCCCGCTCCAGGGGTGGGGTGGGGTGCAGAGTGTACTGGGCCTAGCCAACCCCTGCGCAGCATGTCCCTGGTCGCCGTGCCGTCCCCTCCTGGCTCCTGCTGCTACGTCCCGGCCACAGGGACAGCCAGACCAAAGACCACCGAGCCTGGAGCCAAGAGCGCAGAGAAGTGGTTCAAACCGCACACAAGCTCCCGCTCACCCTCCATCCCAGACTTCTTTATCATTCAAGCCGCTCTGAGTCAGCTGTCCTGATACGTGCATTCGAAAGCCTGCTATGGGGTGTGCACCCTCCGTGCAGCCTGTCCGACTCTCCAGGGGCTGCATCCAGGATTTTCTGGGTATAGGCTCAGCTCCTAAATGAATCTAAATGATGAGGAAGACTAGGCTTTTTGGAACTTTCGGACCTTAAGATGAAAGGGAAGAATCTGAAGGGACAACCTGCGGAGCAGTCAGCTTAGCTTCTAAGGTGTTGATCTGAAAACATTCATGCTTGTCAGGCAGCATCTGAACACTGCAAGCTGGAAAGTTGTTGTAAGGGAGCATTAATTTCCTACTAGGAACAAGATCTAAAAAATTTGAGCTCCTTAAGGATTCTTAAAATATTAAAGATCAGTGTAAGGTCTTTAATATTTTAAGAATCCTTCATATTCCTGAACAAAAACCTTTACCTAGCCTGAGGGAGTTAACTTTGCTCCCTCTTGAACCATTTAGAAAGCTTAATTTACCCTTGTGGTAAGTTTTTGTTGTCAAGTTTCAGGACTTAAAGCAATTTCCAGCTTGCCTGTATTTTTAAGGCCATTCTACAAAGGTCCAAATGAGTCATGTGAGACAGTCACGTGGTGCAGGAAGGGGGCTCGCTTACCAGCTGAAACTCGCTCCTCCGGCTGAAGGCTTCCCTGATGCCTGAGTCCCTCCAGAGCGCGCCCAGGGCAGGCACGTACAGCTGGAAGGTGGCGGGCTCCACAGGCAGGCCTGCTTTGTTCTCAAAGGCCATGAGGAACATCGCATGCTTCTCGTTCTCGGAGTACTGCCACGGGATCCCGAGCTTGTCTCGTGCATCAACAAGGACCTTAGAGCCCTGGGAAATCAAAGAAAGGAGGATTGAATTGTGCCTCGAAGACTGAACCCCAATGGAGAACCTCAATATGGGCACTGGTTGTCACAGAGCAGGAAACTCTCAAGCTAGCAAGTCTGCAACCGGAGTTGGTCTCTTGGTTCATCTGGTCATGGCACGAATGTCTCAACTCCCAGGAACCCAACTGGACTGAGACATGTGTATACACACCACACAGCAGGTCTGCCCTTTGCTCCCAGTCATGTGGAAAGGTCTGGGGAGGGACACAGGTGAATGGGGGAGGAAGTGGCAACAAACCGGCAAAACAAACACTGGAAAATGAACCTGAAGCCCGTCAGAAAGAGACAATGTTTGAACCCACCAGTACTATACTGGTACTGCCGTTATCACTGACATTAGGCAGCTGCTGAGTACCAGGACGTGGTTGCATGTCCCAGCCAAAAACGAGCAGAGGACACACAAACACAAGCAGTTGTGGTCATGAGACAGGAACAGGCTAAAATGTGACTCAGCTGAGTGGCTGCCCACTGACAGGAGCTGGCGAATCTAATGCCACCATTGTCTGCGATGATGAGAAACGACCCTTCATTCTTTTGCTTATTTCCTCATGGTTAAAAATAAAGTGGGTGTTTTCTGCCCTTTTCTTACCTCACAGACAAGGTCAAGGGGATGGACAAAGAGCCTACACAGAATCAGCATTAGGGACAACCCAGCCTGTCCGATAGCGGCCTCACCTACGGCGCTGTTCTCAGGTTAGGGCTTCAAATTAGCAGCGTGGTATCTACGGGTGTTCCTTCCTGAGTTCTTCTGGGGGCACCACCAATCCTGGGGTGAGCAAAGGACAGTGGGGGCCCTATCTGGAAAAGCCTTCCCGGGCTCAGAGCCGGCTGGGGGACCCGGAATGACGGTCCCCGGCACAGAGAGCAGCAGGACATCTCTGCTCACTTGGCACTTTCTTAAAAAAAACACCCCAAAACAACCCAGCTTCATTGGACTGTCAGGCACACAACATACAATCCCTCCATTTCAGGGTACAACTTAATGGCTGTTAGTCGGCAGTTATCCTAAAAAGTTTCATCTCCAGCACCCGGGGCAGCGTAAGTGAACAGCCCTGCCCTTTCCCTATCTCCTCCATAGCGTCAGTTCGGCGCTGTCACGTCCATTTCTGCCTTGAACCACTGGCTTGAATGGTAACGGTGACTGACCAAAGACAGTAGCTGCAGCTTCTCCTGACCTGGCGGACCAGGACTGTCTGGTTAAGGGTGTCCCTGGGAGCTCCCACATCAGGGGCCACACTTGTCCGTCATCAGCGACACGGCCAGTCCTAGTAACCCACCAAGACGTGTTCAATGCCTCCTCGGGGCAAAGCACCAAGCTAGGCTCTGAGGGAAAACAAAACGTTTATGAAGCAGTATTTCATCTCCAGAAATTCAGAATCTGGCTAGAGAGACAGGTGTGTGAATTAAAAAGATTAGTGCCCATTCATGATAAAAATACTCAGAAAACTGGGAATGGAGAACTTCCTTAACTTAATAAAAACCACTGGCACAAAACCCTACAGCTAACATCATAATTCATGGTGAAAGACTGAATGCTTTCCCTCTAAGACTGGGAACAAGACAGGAGTGTCCATTTTTATCTCTGTTATTCAACATGGTACTGGAAGTGCTGACAGTGTGGTCAAGAAAATAAATCTAAGGTATACAGATCAGAGAGAAAAATAAAATGAAGGCTTTTTGTAGATGAAATTATGGTCTCGGTAGAAAATTCCAAAAAAATCTACCAAAAAACCCCCCAAACAAATAAACAAAAAAACCCCTCCTAGAATTCAACTGAATTCAGCAAGGTTACCAGATATAAAATCAACCTACAAAAGTCAATAGTCTTTCTATATATGTGCAACGAACATGTAGAAACTGACATTTAAAATGTAATTACTATTAAAATGTCCATACTGCCTAAAGCAATATATAGATTCAATGCAATTCCTATCAAACTACTTAGGGCATTTTTCACAGAAATAGAAAATATAATCCTAAAATTTATATGGAACCAAAAAAGACCCTGAATAGCCACAGCAATCCTGAGAAATAAGAACAAAGTCTGGGGTATCATGCTACCAGACATTAAAACATACTACAAGGCTACAGTAATCAAAACAGTATGGTACTGGCATAAAAACAGGCACATAGACCAATGGAACAGAATAGAGAGCCCATAAATAAATCCATGCATATACGGGCAGTTAGTCTATGACAATGGAAGCAAGAATTCACATTGGGGTAAAGACAGTCTATTTAATAAATGGTGCTGGGAAAATTGGACTGATACATGCAAAAAAATGAAACTGGACCACCTTACTCCATATACAAGAACAAATTCAAAATGGATTAAAGACTTAAATGTAAGACCTATATAAGGTCTAAATTTGCAGACATTACCCTGAGCAATATTTTTACTGATACATCCCCGCAGGCAAGGAGAGTAAAAGAAAAAAATGAACATATGGGACTACATCAAACTTAAAAGTTTTCTCACAACAAGGGAAACCATCAATAAAACAAAAAGGAAGTCTACTGAATGGGAGAAGATATTTGTCAACGATATATCTGATAAGGGGTTAATATGCAACTCAACACCATAAAAACAAACAACCCAATTAAAAAATGGGCAGAAGATATGAGGAGACATTTCTTTAAAGAGGACATACAGATGGCCAACAGGCATATGAAAAAATGTTCAACCTCACTAATTATTAGAGAAATGCAAATAAAAACCACAATGAGATATCACCTTACACCTGTCAGAATGGTTGTCATTAATAAATCAACAAACAACAAATGCTGGCGAGGTTGTGGAGAAAAGGGAACCCTGGTGCACTGTTGGTGGGACTGCAGACTGGTGCAGCCACTATGGAAATCAGCATGGAGGTATCTAAAAAAACTGGAAATGGATTAACTACCTTATGACCCAGCAATTCCACTCTTAGGTATTTATCCAGAAAAATCCAAGACATTAATTCGAAAAAATATATGCACCCCTATGTTCATTGCAGTGCTTCACAATAGCTAAGACTTGGAAACAACTGAAATGCCCATCAGTAGATGACTGGATTAAGAAACTGTGGTACATTTATACAATGGAGTATTACTCTTGCTATAAAGAAGAAGGAAATCGTCCCATTTGCAACAATATGGATGAAACTAGAGAACATTATGCTAAGTGAAATAAGTCAGTCAGAGAAAGGCAAATACCATATGATCTCACTTATACGTGGAATCTAAAAAACTGAATAAATGAGAAATGTAAACAGAAATAGTCTCAGAGACACAAAGGAAAAACTGAGGGCTGCTAGTTGGGAGGGGGTGGGGATGAAGGAGAAGGGGAAGGCATGAGTCAATACAAATTGGTAATTACAGTATGGCCTCAGGGATAGAAAAGACAGTCTGGAGAATATAATCAATAATGTTGTAAATATTTTTTAGGGGGCCAGATGGACTCATGTCTTGTTAGGGAGACCACTTCATAGTCGGTGTAGAGGCCTGACCACCGCACTGTATTTCTGAAGCTGATGTTGAATAGCATTGCATATCAACTATAATCATATATACATATAGTCAACGGGGTACGGAGTAAAGTGTGGGAATAGAGTCAATGGAATTGTAATAAATAAGTATGATATCAGGGGTGGGAGGGCAGTGGATGGGGGAGGGAGGCTGTCACTTCATGAGGGGTGAAAAGGATAACTATTGCATTGTTCTGTACACCTGAAACTAATAATAACACACAAAAAAATGTAAGGGCCGGCCAAGTGGCTCAGTTGGTTAAGAGCTCGCTTAAGAGTTTGAGCTCTGAGCAATAGCGGTTTGATTCCCGGCCCGAGCTGAGCAGCCGCTGAGCCGCCAACAGGTGGCAGGATGGCTCAGCTTAAAAAAAATAAAAATAAAAAACTGTAATTACTAGTAACAATTAAAAAAAAGACATATTTCTGTATAAATGTAAAAAAAAACATGTATAGGACATGTATGCTGAAAACTACAAAACCTGATGAAAAAAATTAAAGATCTAATAAATGGAGGACATACCATGTTCATGGATTGGAAACGTCAACATACTAATGATATTAATTCTCTCCAAATTGATATACAGGTCAAACACAATTTCTATAAAATCCCAGCAAGCTCTTTCATGGATATAGATATGATTAATCTAAAATTTACATGGAAAAGCACTAGACCAGCTAAAACAATTGTGAACATGAAAAATTAAGTGGGAGGAATCACTTTATCCAATTTCAAGACTTAAATCATATAGATACAGCAATCAGGACTGTGTGGTATTGGTGGGAGAGCAGACACAGAGATGAATGGGACAGCCGAGAACCTGAGACAGTCCCACACAGGTATGGCCAATGGGTTTTTGTAAAAATACAAAAGCAAGTCAACACCTTTTCAACAAATGGTGTTGGAACAACTGGACATCCATAGGCAAATAAAAAAAGAAGAGAATCTTGACCTAAACCTCACATTTCATATACAAAATTAACTCAAAATGTAAAACTACAGCATATGAGAAAATCTTCAAGACCTACAGCTTGGTGAACAGTTCTTAGATATGGCAAGAAATGCATAATTCCTAAAAAAACCCCCAAAAAACAATAAATTGAACTTCATTAAAATTAAAACTTTTGCTTTGCAAAAGACTCTCTTAGGCTGAAAAGCTACAGACAATGAGAAAACATTTGCCACCCACATATTGGACAAGGATTCACATTTAGAATATATAAAGAACGCTCAAAACTCAACAGTTAAAAAGACAAAACAATCCAGTTAGAAATTGTGCAAAAGACATTAAGAGTTGTTTCACTGAAGAGTACCTACGGAGAGCAAGCGGGCAGGCGACAGATAAGATGGTCAAGATCACCAGCCATCAAGGAACAGGATTAAGACTCCGATATCACCACACAACTATTAAAACAGCAAACCCCAAAACCAGCTACAATA